CTCTGGTATCAACTCAGCTGTTCTGGTTCAAATTCCTCTCCCAGCTGACTCATTCAATCTGGCTTCTCTCTCAGCCCCTGAATTGCTCTACTTGGCCTCAAAGTAACTCCAGCAATCTGCTCTAATATCCTGGCTCCTTTTCATTCTCTGGCTCATTCAGTCTTCACCTGAGTTCTCTGAGTTTTCTGCAACCTGTTTCTCTATTACTGTCCCAGTAATACTGCTTCCTCTCTGTATTGCCTCTAAAGTAGCTTCCCTATCCTCTTTCTTCCCATGAGAATTGGGAGTATCCTATTTTGTCAAATCTTTCTCTGATTCATCAGTGTTTCTGCTACTCAATTATATATCACTTTCAAACATGGGTGCTTTCTTCTACAAACTAACTTTACCTTTATTGTTTGGGATTAAAAGCATGTAGCACCACACCCACATCTAAACTCTTTTTTACCTGAGACTTGTTCTATACCAGGCTGGCCTTGAACTCAGATCTGCTTGCCTCTGTCTCCTAGATTAAGAGTGTGTCTGTATTCCAGTCTGATCATACAGATCTAGAAGGTCTTTGGATGTGATCTTTTGCTAGAGCAGCCATGTTCTGAATTAAAATTCCTCTACAAAGAGAGACCCAGAAACCCGGTCCAGCTGTGTGAAGACATCAAAGAAAGAGAGTGGTGAGTATCCTGGGGATGTGGCTCAAAAAGTGGACATGTCACAGCACAACAAAATGTCATGGTGAATAGAAGAAATAGACAAACTCAGTTTTGGAGAAGGACAGTGGAAGGAGGTGACAGGAATAGGGACACATTCATGTTTGTAGGCTGTGAGGTGTTGATCCTGGGAAAATAGGGAACACTACTGGGGAACAGAGGTAGACATAGATAACTGAAGACCAATGGGATAGAAGCAGGTTTTTTTCCCCCCAAATAGCATATTCTCCCAACAAATATGAGGTTCTAAGAAAAAGGATGAATAGAGAGCCCAGGGCTTCAGAGACAACCAGGATGCCTTCTCCCCAGCCTCTGGAAAGGAGAATGAGCCTGATTCTGAAGATGGCAGCAAGCTCAGGCCTTTCGAGAAATAACTTTACTGCAGCCCACAAGATACACCAAGGTAATCTGGGGCCTGATGTGGCTATGCACACATTTTTCCATCTCCCTAGTGATCCAATCGGACAGGCCCATTCTGTCTCATTCTGTAAGCTCTAGCCCTAGACCCTCAGCTGTATGAAAAAAAAAATAATGGCTATATCCATTTTCTTGTGCTTTTTCGAATTGGGTAATGTTTACACAAATAACAAGGGGTCGATTAGGCTCAGGTTAGGTACACAGGACCAAGTAGCTACATCTTTATTCAGGTCTTTCAGAATCCCTGTAAAGGCTGAATCAATTCAGAATAAAGACAATGTCAAATGCAGAGCATTTGTCGGGAACATAAGCAAGGGGATGCAAGCATCTGATAAGGGACCAGTACCAGGTGATCTTTAAATATCCTTGCAGCCTGACATGCGATGAAAAATGCTGTGGACCAGATTGAAGACAGATAGAAAGAAGCAAAGAGCCAATCATTCCTGTTAAAAAGGTCCTAATCATTCCTGTTCAAAAGGTCCCATGACTCGTGGTAAACACTAGAATAAAGGGGGGGGGAAGCACCCCAAGCTTATCCCATTGCTGGAGAGGCTGTGGAAGTCAGGAAGCGCTATGTCCCTACAACTTCTTCCCCAGTGACATGTGTTAAAAATGAAACGAGGGAGAGAATCGGGTAGGGCAAGCCCTAAGATCTTCCGTTTGAATAATTTTCTCTCCTTTTTTCGTACTCAACTATGTTTCTAATTTTTTAATTATTACAATTTATTCACTTTATATCCCAGCTGTAGCCCCCTCCCTCATCCCTTCTCAATCTCACCCTCCCTTCTTCATCTCCTCCCATGCCCCTCCCCCAGTCCACTGATAGGCGAGGTCCTCTTCCCCTTCCCTCTCACACTAGCCTGTCAGATCTCATCAGGACTGGCTGCATTGTCTTTCTCTGTGGCCTGGTAAGGCTGGGCCTCCCTCCTGGGGATTTCCTCTTTTAATACCCAGGCTCTCACTATCCTTCCAAAGGAGTGACACCAATCTTGTCTACAGCACTGTAGACACTCCTGTCTATTGATGTGCCAAAGCACATGTGGCTTTGACTATGACCATGCCATCTCATTGTACATAGGGTTGTGCCATAGTTATTTCCCTCCACTCATGAAGCTTCGGGGATCAGAGACCCACTGCCTCTCAGCCTTTCTGTCCCTGCTTGTGTGAGTCACAGGAGAATTAGCAAAATACAATTATAATGCTCCTGCAAAGTACTTGGTGTGCCAAGTACTTTGTTCTCAGACCATAATTAGTAATTTACTGTCTATTGATAGGGCAAAATGAACTGCTGCACTAAGAAGATACTTTTCCTGTGGTCAAAGCGTTTGGACAATTGGAGTCAACCCATCATCTTCCTGCAAAAAGGCTTTGTTTTGTTCCCTCCAGCTTTAAGTCTCTGCCAATAAACCTAAAATCTCCACCAACCTCCACTTGCTTACACAGCAGCAGCCTGGCTCTGTAGAAGACTGTGTTGGCTCACACACCAGAACAAGCTCCCGAAGGAAAACTCTGCATGCTCCATGTTCTCCTGGTACGGTGGCTGTGAGATTTTTTTTTCCCCCTGACATGTGAAGACACTCAACTGGTCCCAGAGCTCTCTCCACAGCTCTTGAGTTCCCAGGTGACAAAGATCCTGATGTCTCAAAGGAAACTTCCTTCCCTCTCTCCCACATATGAGATTCACTCTTGTCTTATAGTTGTGCCGATGGCATATTACCCAAAGCTCCAGTGAACAAAAGTGGCCCTAGAATCACAGCCTGTACCAAGAGGCCAGAGCATCCACTAAGAGCATGCAGTCATGCTCATCAGTCAAGATTGTGTACTTGGTAATTTGCCTGGCCATTAGAGCTCATTTGCAACCCAGAAACCAATACCTCTACATGAACATATCCAGTAGAGGCTAAGCAGGGCAATAATTGTGTATCTACCTTTAGATGTGTATGCACACTTTTTAGTTAGTAGATAAAATTCTTCATATTTATCACATGCAACATGTTTTAAAATTGTTCCAATGTTCATGCCATAAACAAGTACACTCTTTCAATGGTCTATTCCAGACCACGTTTTTCACATTTGGTGCTTTTTATTGGTAACTTTGCTCTAAAATGGATTCTAAAGCATAGCTCTGAAATACCATCCCATGATCCCAAACACAAAATAGTGGCCATATGTCTTACAGAGAAGAGAACGTACAGGATAGGTGTTGATCAGCTGTTACCTGAGTTGCGTATGAATGAGTCAGTCATATGTGTTAACTAAGGTGTTGTTGAACAAAATCACACATACAGCATGAAAGGTTATATGCAGGGTAACTGATAAAATATTGCAAGCAGAGGCTCACTAAAACCTAACACTGAATTTTCACTGGGAGCACAGGTTCAGGGATTTTGAATCCACCATCCACGGGGACTGTATAGAAAAGAATTCCCTCAAACAACAAGAAAAACATAAACATTCCAAACGGCAATGGCCAAAGAATGCTGCAGAAGAGTGTCCTTCCTGGATACCCCCAGCCAGTTCGGACAAGTCTGACCTCAGACAAGCACTCAGCAGTGGGGCTGTTCTATGTACACTGTAGCTCTGAAACCTCACCTTTTCCCTCTGCCCAACCTTGATCTGGAACCTGGGGATCCTTTCTATGATATTCACTGGAAGCCTCTGAATAACATTCCAGCAGATTCTAGATACTGAGGCAAATGATGGCCCGAGCTGACACTAGCCCAACACTTCTCATTGCAGTAAGGCTTACTGAATAATCTCAGAGCTAGAGAAATGGAAGTGAAGGCTGATGGGATGACCCAAGATCTACTCTGCTGCTGGAAGTCCCAGCAGGAGCAGCAAGAGTTATGAGCTTTGAAGAGTATGACCAATGTACAGAAAGTTCAGACCAGGGGATGAGCAAGACCAGAATACAGCTCTTTCCTAGCCCTACCCCAGACTGACTGAGGCATGAAAATAATGCATTGGTGGGAATCCTGGCAGCTATGGGACGCTCACAGCCTTTGGTATTCTGTCTGTATGGTGAGGCCTTTCCCTAACAGGTTACTCTGGAACCTTCCTGGTATCCCTGCTCACTAGTGGCATCTCTGTACTCTCCTGAGCAGTGGATTATTCCCTAGGAGGCAGGAGCAGTGTGAAGGGGAGACGCTGTGCATTCATATCACTGGGCACATTGAGCCTGAGGACGCAGGAAGGAGGACAATGTGTAGGCTGAAGGGATAAGGCACCATGGCTTCAGGAGTTGAAAGGGGACCTAGCAGGGCTCATAAGAAATACAAAGAGAGTGGCTGCAAACAACAGGAGGTGAGAAGCATGGAGGAAATAGGTGTGCTATGTGGTAGGAAGGGGAGAATTCCTAGAGCCTGAGCAGGAGTGCTTTCAGGGAGGGCTGGGCTGGGCGGGGCAGCTAGAGAGACATTTCTATTCAGAGGTTCCTACTGCTGTTTACTTACTTCCCCTCCCATGGAGGCCTGAGTGGATCTTCTGATAGCCTCCAAGGCTGCCGTGTAGACACAGCCAGGCCATGTGTTTTCACAGCTAGGCTGCTTCTGAAGAAGACCAGCCTCTTTTGTGTGTCCTGTCTTACAGGAGCACCTCTCCCTGCTCAGAGCAATGCTAAGCCAGGTTAATAAGGAGGAGGGGAGAGAGGCTTAACTTACACCTGTGGCCCTCCCTTCCTCAGGGATTCTGGCCACTGGCCTCTCCTTGTCCAGGCTATTCTCTGTGCTTAGAGACAAAGAGGGAAGGACTCCTAGAAAGTGGGAGGTAGGCAGGTAGGAGGTTACCCTAGAAGGTTCCAGAACCCCAGCGACATGGTTTGCTTCCATACCACCCCCTACAAAGAAAAGGGGGAGGACAGAATCCAATCCTGCTACTCACATGTGTCTGGCTTGTGGCAATTGTGTCCCTGACGGAAGTACTGTGGGTTCTCAATGACTGGAATTCGAGTCATGCCAATGACCACTGTGTCCGGCCCAGCGTCCAGCGAGGAAGGCGTAGTGATGCCATGGTTGATGTGGTGCAGTGGGCTGGCTGAGTCCTCCTCACCACTGATGACAGCCACAGGACCTGTGAGAACCGTAAGAGACACAGGACCTAATGAGTCACATCTACTCAGTACCAGGCCTGTCCACAGACCCTCTGCTATTGTAGCATCATATTTTCCAGGAGAGTCCTGTCTGTTAGATAGGTGTTGCCCAAATTCCCTGAATTCTGAACTTAGACAACTTCAGCCAAATTATCTTCCTTGAAAATAACTGACTCTCAACCATAGAAATAGTTCCAAAATAAAAATGAATTGAAATAATCACAACATAAATCTTTTTTAATTTCTTCACAAACCCAATTAATTCAAAATAATAAAACTCACAAGTTTTTTTTGTGCCATTATTTTTATTTTTTGATAATTCCATACATGCCAACAACATAATGTGATCATATATACCACCTATTTCCCTGTCCACCACCCTTTGCTTCCTCTCTTTTTTCTGTTTTTCTGGTAGTAAATTTTTAATATAAATTTTTATTTATTACAATTTATCACTTTGTATCCCAGTTGTAGCCTCACCCTCTTCCCCTCCCCAATCATTCCCTCCCTCCCTCCTTCATCTCCTCCCAGTTCACTGATAGGGTGGTCCTCTTCCCCTTCCATCTGATCCTAGCCTATCATGTCTCATCAGGACTGTCTTTCATAGTCTTCCTCTGTGGCCTGGTCAGGCTGCCACCGCTCAGGGGGAAAGATCAAAGAGCCAGCCACCGAGTTCATGTCAAAGAAAGTTCCTGCTCCCCTTACTAGGGAACCCATTTGGAGACTGAGCTGCCATGGACTATCTCTGTGCAGGGGTTCTAGGTTATTTCCATGAATGGTCCTTGGTTGGAGTATCAGTCTCACAAAAGACCCCTGTGCCCCAGATTTTTGGTTCTGTTGTTCTCCTTGTGGAACTCCAGACTTTTCTGGGTCTTTCTAGCTCCCCCTTCTTTCATAAGATTCCCTGCACTCTACCCAAAGTTCGGCTATGAGTCTCAGCATCAAGTTTCTTTTTCATGTAGCAATAACAAGACTTAAAAACAGAACCTAGAAGGGGTTGTCCCTCCTCAACTTGGAACATTAAAATCACTGCTATCAAAGAGCTGAGGAAATTCCTCGATTGGTAAAGTAAGGGTCTCACATGCACAAGGACCTGAGTTATGTTCCGAGAACCCACATAAAGGCCAGGTAAAGTGGAACACATTTGTGATCCCAGTACAGAGTAGGCAGAGCAAAGAGGATGCCTAGGACTTACTGACTTGCCATAGAGCTCCAGCTTTGGTAAGAGACCCTGTCTTAAGAAAATAAGGTAGAAAGTAATTGAGGATGACAGCTGTTGTCAACCTCTTACCTACATACACATGCACACACAGACACACACAGACACACACAGACACACACAGAGAGACAAAGACAGAGAGAGATACATGCACATACATATGCATGTAGACAAAACTTCAGAGGATCACCCCAGAAATTCTGATTCAGGTAGTCTGGGGTGTCACCTGATGATCAAGATTCTAAATGAAATGCGTGTATGTTTTGGAATACACGCATGATGCAGAACCCGTGATTAGGAGATTGAAGGGTGCATGACCGTCAGCATGGCCATCAGATTTCCATAGGGGTATGATATGACTTCCACTGGACTTTGCCACAATCTTCCTTCACTCACAGTGTTGCCCTGAGCCTCTCCTAAACCCTATTTTTACGATGGGCTGTAATTACTCTATGTCACCGATAGCCTGCTGGTAGTTGGGCTAGCTGTTCCACTCTTGAAATGTCCACATTGTCCCAATGTCTACAAATCATACCAACTACATCTCCACCAATTCCACCCCCATTGCTTTCTAACCCTAAGAGGAAACCCAGTGAGTAACATGACTCAGAAGCACAAGCTGACAGATATAATTAATGCTGCAGGCTTTGCAGAAAGATGATTGTGTTTGGTAGTACGATTCTTCCATACATACAAACAAAACTCCTGTAAAGGGAATTAGCGGTGAGTGTTTGTGGCTTCGTACAACTGGTGTTTTAAGTGGCTGCTTTGCTAGACACAGGGTCCCCAGACAAGGCGCTTGCTGTGACTTGGTTTTGTGGCTTGAACAATATTTCCACTGCAGAAATCCATTACGTCTTACTGAAGTTTATGGAGAGAATATTTCCCATCAAACAGCGAGGTGAAGCGCCAATGAGGCAGAACTAAATGGGAGACTGGTAAGCGCAAACTGCAGGCGCTGGATTCCACTCCGTCAGCACAGGCAGGCTTATTCCAACCTGTGACAAATGGCGGATGGTGTCTAGAGACCGTGTGCAAAAGTGGCAATAAGTGGTTGCCCAAATGCCCAGAGTAATCACCTGTCTTACAAAAAGGAATGTGGTCCTGGAAACACTTTCCTCAGAAACTCATCGGGAAAACTTTCAGAGTGGCTTGCAGGGAAATGAAGAATACTATGCCCTGATATTAGCTGCTCCCACAACCATCACTAACGTACAAAAGAACTGAAGAAATATTAGTGCACTAAGAATGAGAAGAGAATAAACAAAACATTTCATCAACATTTAAAAAGTTGAAAAACACAGGGGAACAAGGACTATTTCTAACAGGAACTCAATGACTGGCTCTTTGGCCTCCCCACCCCCCCAGGGAGGAGCAGTCCTGTTAGGCCACAGAGGAGAGCTTTGCAGCCAGTCCTGAAGATACCTGATAAAACAGGATCAGATGAATGGGGAGGAGGTCCCCCCCCTATCAGTGGACTCGGCAAGGGGCACGGTGGAGATGAGGGAGGGAGGGAGGGACTGGGAGGGTATGAGGGATTGGGACATGGCTGGGATACAGAGTTAATAAAATGTAACTGATAAGAAAAAAATAAAATTAAAAAAAAAAAGTTGAAAAACACATTAAAGGAGAGCAGTGACTCAGGCCAAACCAAGAGAGCACCATTGCCATGTGCCCTAGCTGGGAGTGTGCATACCAGGAGAAGGGTGTCCAGATGAGGCCTACAGCGTAATGGGTAGGGTACACAGGAAAATGACAGGAAGACCCACTCCTGACAAGACACTTGGGGTCACAACCCTGCTCCGACCCCACAGGAGGAGGAGTTTATTCCTACAGAAGTTGAATCAAAAGACATGGGGTGCACTCAGAGGAAACACAAAGCTGAGACTCTTCTTCTGTTCCTGGAACAACCACAGTTGTGCACAACCTGCCTAGCACCTCCCGATATCCAGTAACTCCAGTATTCGAGGATGTGAGAGAAGCTTCCACAGAAAGTCAGAAAGAAGGCCTCCAGACGTTGACCTTTTTGCTTTTCCTGGTGAAAAGCCACCCTGGAATCATTGCACAGTGATGCTGACAGTGAACATGACAACTGCATGCTCACAACCTGGGATCCTTTCAGCTTTCCAGGGCTCAGTTCCTAAATAAGAGGCAGGGCTGGGTACAGGACCACCGGATACCTCAGAAGAGTTTCTGCATGCCATACTTGAGCAATTGGGGGCCTGCAGGAAACGGAGGCAATGTAGGAAGCAGAAGGCTCAGAAAAAAAACAATATAAAAACAAATAGTCTAAGAGGTAAATACAACATCACACACAGCTATAAAAACAAGGCAATGCTTAAGAGGTGAACAATTCAAAGGAAGAAAAGCCTCTCTGAGAATTTCAGTTAGCAGCATTTTGAAGTCAGTAAGAGTTTAAGAAAAACTGAAGGAAAAAAAGTAAAACTAAGAAAAAAAGTAAATTTCAATACCAAGATGAAACAACAGGTTAAAAGATAACAGAAATGAGAAGAGCATATGAATTTTCAACAAGGAATTCTACAAATACACACGGGTGCGTGCACGCACGCACACACACACACACACACACACACACACACACACACACACACCAGGGGCCAAAGGAAAAAAGCACTCTTTTTTTGCCAATCTGTAAAAACTGACCTCCCGTTTCCCTTTTCCAGGAAGGTCAGGAGAAAGGACTCCAGAAATACAAAGGGATAGGCAAGGAGAAGCAAAGCAAAGCATCCATTTCAGTTCATAGGAAGATGAGATGAAGGCACAGGTGGAGGGATTGGTGGTGGGTGCAGGACTTACACCAAACAGCCCCACTCACTCCAAAGCTCAAGGCTCAACTGCAACCAGAACTCACTCCCTTTGTCACAGTGATCGACCATGAAACCCAAGAAGAAGGAGATAAGTACCCAGAGTCCCCTGCTCCCATTTCTTTCTTTTTTGAGCAATACGGGATGTGGGGTGTTATGGTCACATAGAAAAATTAAGTAGATGTTGGGATAAGATATTACATCAGGACTTCAACATTTGAGAAAAGCTGTTCCTTCAATCTGTCTGTCTCTTAAAAGCTCCAGAGGAAATGAAGAGTCAGTAAAAATTTCCAAGAGCTTGTGACATGAAATAGTTAAAACTTTTTTCCCCCTTTGCATTGTTCTAGATTTTGAAAGGGCTGAAGTAATAGCTGTGAGGGAAAGGCTCCAAATATATGGGAAGGAAGATTTTGCCCAAGAAAACTTGAAATAAAACAGTAAGCCAGACAATGGAGCCCCAAAGAACCCCAACACTTAAATATGGGCATTGGAAGGAAAGCAAGGGAAAGGAGCAGAAGAAATGGCCAGAAAGCAAAAAAGAACCAGAAAATAAACAAACAAACAAACAAAAAACATAGTCTTAGAAGCCCAAAGAGGACCTCTATGAGTTCAAGAGGATCTACTTAAAGGGCAAATAGGATAAAGAACAAAAGAGGGGCTGGAGAGATGGCTTAGTGGTTAATGGCACCAGCTGTTCTTCCAGAGGACCCAGGTTCAATTACCAGCCCCCACATAGTGGCTCACAACAATCTGTAATTCTAGTTACAGAGGACCCAGTGCCTTCTTCTGGCTTCTCAGTGCACCAGTCACAAACATGGTATACAGACATATATGAAGGGAAAACACCCATCCACATAAGATATAATTATAAAAAGTGGAAACAAAGACTGAAGACTGACCATGCAATTGAAAATGAGGAGATAGCCTTACTGATATC